ACTTAAATAGAACCCATTTAAAGGGGGAACTATCTCTCGCAGGAAGAACTGACAAGCAGTAAATTGTTCGTAGTCGAAGTTAAATAAGTTGCATATGTTGCCGAATGAGAATTCTAAAAATTGTAGCCTTTCGATTATGAGAAATTACAACTTTGGGAATTTTGCTCCGTAACATGCGCAAGTTGCTGAAACGTGCTTGCAAAGGCATCAACTGCGTAGTCTCAAATTTTCCAGTATTTCCTGGGTTTCATATACTGAATTTCAAAAAGTCATACTTTTTTATAAAATCATCATCCTAATAGCCGAGGATTTTCATGAGAAGTAACTGGCTTGGGGAGAACGAAAAGTTGCCATGGTAAATTGCATTTCACTCAGTCAATGCCACGGGTTTCTCGAAGGAGATCACTGATGGCGCAAACACCTCCAGTAGGTGGTCTGTATAGCCCGAGGCAAGAGCTGTCCTGTTATATTTCAAGTCGGTTGGTCAAGCCCTGTACCCCCCCTTCCCCCGGGGCGGGGGGGGGGCGACGAACCCACATCCTGTGTGGCTGGCTGGTGACGGTAAGCAGGCTGGAAACGGCCATTCCAATGCGACATGTCTTGATCGGTAGAGACGTCTCGACTGCTGACAATCAGCCTTTTGACGATTGTCTATGCGGGCACTGTAGTCTCAGCTCTGAGACAGAGTGGATACGTCCACTTACAGTAAATGGTCTAACTCATGAAATCTCAACAGAAATTCCGATATGCTTTTCCGTTTCGAAAAGATTAATTAAGTAGGATTGTAAAATCAAAAATCATGCAGCATAATTCTATAATAACTCAGTTACGCCAGGACGCCGGCTTTCGAACAAACTTCTTTTTGGTTGCATCCAAAAACCATACTCCGTAAAAAATGACTACGTAAGTTGCATGCATTTTTCTCATTTATTTTCGCTGCCCTTAAATATTCAATTATATTTCACGGAAAACATACATAAAAATATTTATTCTTTTGCTCATTCAGTAGGAAATTACGTATTCTTTCAATTTTACACTCGAAGGAAGGGCATAATTTGATTATATAACACTTTTCTAATTCCCGAATAATTTAGGACCCAACCTGCCGTTACACTTGCATTCAAGGTTCCCAAACTACAAGCCGTATAATTTCCGCCTGCACAAAACCATATATTTCTCTGCGATAATAAAGGGTGACCATATAGGGTTCATGAAATTTAGCATTAGATTTGAACCACATTATTTACTTTACAAGCCACATCGGTAAATGCAGAGACGCGACGTTTTATGAAGGGCCATTTCACGGTAGTAAAAAATTCGCAATAAGAAACTTTTTAAAACCGAATTATACTGTTCTTTCGAGTATAAAATCGGAAGAAGACGTGATTAATCTTTTCGAAACGGAAACGCATTTCGGAATTTCTGTTGAGATTTCATGACTTAGCTCACCTGCTGTAGAGGAGGTCTTCGTGTACGCCATCCTCAATCCCCCTCCCGTCTGGCTTTGACTTCTCTCCAGCTCAGTTGACAGCATACACACCCACGACGCTAAATAACTTTATGGGGCAGTGTTTAGCCTCAAGGGGACAGCTCCACTGAAACAGACTTCTCTACTTGACTTCTTTCCCGAGGACTTTATTCAACGTTTTTAGAATTTAACTACTGAATGCTTTCTGCTCACTGATACTCGCCTGGCTTTCGAGAGTCTGCGGGAAAATGGAAGATTTGGCCGGAAGGAATTAGACTGTGCGCCATTTAACGCAATTCTTACCTACAATTTAGATGCCAATCAGTAGCTTAGGCTGCTTCAGGAGATAACCATGAGAAGAAAATTTAACTACCGCCCCCACCTCCGGTTCACGGTTTCTTAACGGTCATCCAGACTTCATGCGTAGTTGAGGTCTAGTAGTCCGCGAAGTGGCTTCCAAGACGCGCATTTACCGAAAGGCCCCTAGGACTGTCGGGGTATTTGTCTTCCCCTTCTTCTTCTTCTTCTTCTTCTTCTTCTTCTTCTTCTTCTTCTTCTTCCTCCTCCTCCTCCTCCTTCCCCTGTGAGCGGCCCAGGCAAATTTCTTGCAAACGGTGTCCTTTCTAGAATGCGATCTAGATGTTTTGTTTTATTCTGACATGAGTTTTATTTCGGAATTGGGCAACAGTATAGAGAAGGACCCCACTTAACTTCCCATAGACTGTGGATCGTGTCATATGGGGTTTTATCCTGGCAAAAATTTGCAGGCCGTTGCAGAAATTATGCTGCCAACAACGATTACTTCCTACGACCTCATACCTTAACTCAAAATCCGTTATTTTTAGGAGTTTACTTTTTGTCTATTGTTTAATTACTACTCTCGTTTCCGTTGTCGTACAATAGCGTAGGCTAAGACTTTCGGCATAAGTTCAGGCAATTTCTGTGTTTTCTTCCATTTTGTCAGCTCACTGTCTAGCGGGCTGCCCCACCCATAAAACTCCCTTTGTCATAAATCACGTATGGCGCGATCCACAGTCTACTGACAGTTTAGTGGGATCCTTTTCTATGCCGTTGCCCGGAATTTTTCCTTATGCTGGCCCTGTTCTGTCATGAGAGACAGCAGAAAAATTAATCATTCCCCGATATTCTTCCCTTTTCCGAAATTCATGACAGTCACTGCATGTTCACTGTCCCCAAAAATCTCGAAAATCACTGACTTGAAAAAGTCATTAAAACGAGCCCTCGAATAACGAGGTCTTGGTGGCAGCCTTCTTCCTTGGGGGGGGGGACTCGTCCACGTTCTAAGCGTCCGCAACGACTAGTGGTTTTTACCATATTATGCCTAGCTTACGGTCCTTATGAAGGCAGCGTATGACCTCTAGTCAGGCCCCGTCTGACAAAACTGACCTTCAAGATCTTTCGGGTTAGCCTACGAGGGTCAAAAAAGCAATAAAATGTAAACAAACGACCACGTTTGCCCTCCTGTTGAAAAAATAACCATTCCCAGGGAGCCTGAGAGAGGGAGGGAGAGAGAGAGCTGTCTGTAAAGTTTGTTAATGGCCGTGTTTCGGCATCTGAGCCGAGGCCTGCACCTTGCTTGAGTACAAAAAATTAAAAGAGCCGAATGCAAAATGAAGAAAACGTAAGTGCTTCGGAGGACTTCTGACGGTGCCGGTAAAAATATCCTTCAGGTTGGATAATTAGAAAAGTGAGCGGTGAGCCCACTGGGTGAGGGAAGAGAGAGTGGTTAGGGTGGGAATAATGTAAGGCGATGTAAGCTTTCGAATTCATTGCTTTTCAATCTCCTGTAGAAACCGCACTCGGTAGAAAATGACTACTTACGTATCATGCATTTTCACACTGATTTTCGATGGTCTTGCAAATTCCAATAGATTTTAAAGAAACCACGAACAGAAATAGGCTTTCTTTCAGTCGTTTGATAGAGAATCTCGTCATTTTCATATTTTACACTCGAAGAAGGAGTATAATTAGGTTTCAGAAAAGTTCTCTGACTGCCGAATAATTTGGATCTTGAACAGTCGTTGCATTAACGCTTAGTGATTTCAGTCTACGAGGTGCATGCCTTCCGTGTAAACGAATAACGTATTCTTCTATGCCTTTAAAAGGATATCATATATAATTCATAAGATTATGCAATGGATGCGAACTATGCTGTACATTTCATGAGGAGCGGTGGCAAACGGACAGGTATTATGCTATACAAATGAACATTTCGCGGTCTTAAAAATCTCACAATTATAGACTTTTCTGAAACCTAATTTTACTCATTCTTCGAGTATAAAATATGAAGATGACGAGATTCTCTATCAAACGACTGAAAGAAAGCCTATTTCTGTTCGTGGTTTCTTTAAAGTGTATTCGCATTTGCAAGACCATCGAAAATCAGTGTGGAAAATGCATGATACGTAAGTAGTCATTTTTTACCGAGTGCGGTTTCTACAGGAGATTGAAAAGCAATGCATTTAAAAGCCTACATCCTGCCAATTCCGAAATATTGTACG